TATCAGACCACAAATCGGTACTTTCTTAAATGGTTTTATAAACGAAATATTATAAAATATAACTCCAAAATAAATTTTAATAACTATATTTATATTTATAAGTATTTTTAAATATTCCACGCCGGTTTTGTGACCTTACGTGTTTGTAGATGCTGCAAAACGCATGACAAGTATATTATTAAATAGGAATTGCGACTAACAACTCTTATTTCAAAATAATAAGAGTTCTTCTTGTGTAACCATATAGTTTCAGATACTTAGATTTAAGGTTCCTTGGTTAAAAATTGCTTAGTAATGGTCATCGGGTCTAGATATTGGGAGTGACACTATAATCCTAGATCGTCTAGACTCTAGACCCTGGGACCAGAAAGGTAAAAAATATATAATTTAAATAAACTAAGTATAAGATTTAATTATTTTTACGATAGACACTTGTATAGATAAACTTAAAAAGCAAAACATTATCTAAATACAAAATTTGATCCAAATCGTTAGAGCCGTTTCCGAGATACACGAAATAAAATGTTATATAAACTTAAAACGACAATTCTAGTGGTTTAATTGAGCAGCGGGTTGTCAGGCACCGAACTGACTTCCATCTACAATATCGAAACACAACTCCCCAATGATCCGCCAAAATGAACCAACGTTACCAATCAACATATCTCCAACGAACGTCATGATGGCACCTCAACCCCGCTTGAGACGTAGCCTCGGCTCTTAATTTGAATTTGATTTGACGAAACATAACATAGCGACCTTAAACAATAATAAGGTATATTCTAGCAAAGAAAAGTGACATGTCAGACTAAATTATAATTAACTTTGCTGATTAGTTGGTGATACAAACTTTCATTCCCATTTTCACCCCCTTAATGGAATGATTTCCGGTATAAAATATAGCCTATGTTCTGCCCAAGGTCACAAACTATTTTCTTACCAAATTTCATCTAAATCGGTCCAGTACTTTTTGAATTTATTCGTTACAAACATACAAAAATACAAATCTTTCCTCTTTATAATAACAGTGTAGATTTCTACTAAATCCTTATCCGACATATACAATAATTGCTCATTTAATATTATAAGATAATTTTATGCGGAACCAATGTCCTTCCATTAACAATACGCCCTTCGATTTTCTTATGCAGTAATCGAATTCTCATTTACGTGTACGAGAATCGAATAACAATCGTTACAGTTCTTAATTGAGAGTAAAGTCATTTAATTTGAAATTGTTTTCTTTAAGAATTCGTTTTATTGAAATTGCATATATTTTAAAATCGATTTCGATATGTTTAATACTTTCTGGCTTCTTAATTTCATATTGAAAATATCTTTTTTTAAATAAAATAAATAATTTAAGATTTGGTAACTGTAGGTTTGTTCACAAACTTTTTATCCATACTAATGTTATAAATGCAAAAATAATTCTGTCTGTCTGTCTGTTAACTTTAAACGCTTAATCTGCTGAAAAACGCCGAATTAAAATAGTTAAAATTTGGTATGAAGATAGGTTGAAGACCCTGACAAGGAAATAGGATAGTTTTTATCCCGAAAATCATCCTTTAAGAGGATAAAAAGGGGTGGGAAGTTTGTAAGGGAAATTAATCATTTTTCAAGTAAGGAATATAAAACTCATCATACCTATGTATATTACCTATCTATTGCATGGCAACCGTTAAATTATATGCCTTAAAGAGTAAATAGATACATATTCAGTGACAAAGCAGAGTTATTGTGCAGCATTTTCTTACTGGATGTATGTATGTCTAAATACCTCAAAGGATGGATTCTTATAAAGTATCTCTAGATATACTTTACTCGTATACCTACATATTATTTTCAATTTACATCTTTACGCAGTCGTTCTTTTTTATTACTGTTCGCTTAGGTACTTAGTTTTTTTTAATCATCTATACAGATAAATAAAATTGAAGTGTCCGTTTGTAATGTCAAAATAACAGCTTTTTACTAAATGCATATGGAATTATATACGGTATTCATAAGAAAAACATAATTTTTTAAATTTCTGTCTGACTGTCTGTCTGTTTGTTCCGGCTAATCTCCGAAACGGCTGTATCAATGTTGACGGACTTTCACTGACAGTTGATGTTATAAGGAGTAACTTAGGCTATGTTTATTTCAATAAACGAATTAAGGTTCCGCTCAAAAAAATTAAAATATACTTAGGGACGAACCCGAGCGAAGCGAAGGTGAGTCGCTAGTATATTATAACTCCTATATTTTCATCGTTAAAGTGTCATAAGGCCATTTTTGCGATATTCAATGTCAAAAATAGTCCTATACTGTATTATGTATGTACAATGTACATATATTCTATCTCAAGTAATATTCGTGGCCAAATTTTTTGGATATATTTAGATTTAACCCATATCTTTTTAGGTATGTATATTATGTATTAGTAATAACAAAAATTCGTCACGTAGCAAGTCTCAGTATTTTGATAATTTACTTATAAATAATACATACAAAGTTGCATCCTTCAGTGTTAGTATTTGCAAAAATAAGTGAAATAAAATTATTTACATTTTCTATTTATACCATTTTATAACATAAAACGGAAACAAATCTATCCCACGGGAACCGTACATTTTTCCGGGATAAAAAGTAGCCTATGTGCTATCCCAGACTATAGTCTATCTCTGTGCCAAACATCCAGATCCGTTTAACCATTCTGGCGTGATAGAGTAACAAACATCCAAACATCTAAACTTTCACATTTATAATATTAGTAAGACTAACGACTTAATCTCGCTTCACTCAGTCCTTAAATATATACTTGTAACTACATTTCATATGTAAATGATAAAGTATCTCTATTAAGAACATATGATGATAAAATTATTAATTTTTATAAGGAATTAGTTTTTGTCCGCGGCTTAACTTGTTTGATAAGCGGGACGATGTATATGGGTAGCCATATCCGATACTAGGATGCAATGTATGTCCTTGCCAAATTTTATCAAAATCTATTCATTGGTTTAAGCTTGAAAATTTAACACAAAGTTACTTGTATATTTATAAAGTAGTACGGATTTATGGATTTATAAATAAGAAATATTAATGGTTTAAATCACTATTAATTAAGTTAGCAGCTTAATTGTAAAATATTTTTATTGGAATTATAATTCAATTTTATCATTAACAGTGATATACCTCTAATTTAGTTTCAATTAATAAGTAAGAAGTTATTTAAACTCTATCTTTTAAGTCGAAATTAAATGCACATTGCTTCTTATTTAAGATAAATTGATTTTCAATATTTTTTGATTGCAAATCAAATGTTTTATTTTAAACTGTAATCCTAAATAAATAATTAATTTAATTAATTTAATATATTTTGATTTCATTTATGATAAAGTCCAATTAATAATATAAATATGAAAAAAAAACTAATTTTAAATCAAGTAAAATAATGTACTAATAAAATAGTTGGAATTATAGGAAATTTTAATATCAAAAATTAAAAAAAATATTCAAAACATAGTTCAAATGAGCTAACTATTACTTAGTCAAAAATACCTATATTTTTTAATCATAAAGTATATTAGACCAAAAAGTTATGTATATAGCGATTTTTTATAGGACTAATAAAGATCTACATATTTCCCATAGGAATAAATTTAATAGTACTCCAAAAACAATATTATTTTAATTTTAAATCAACCCTTTAAGCGGTGCTCGAAAACTTTTTCGACTAAACGAGAAGCGCAAGACCTTAACTGAAACCCAAAACCTAAATTTAATCTGACAATGTGCTATCTATTAGTGCAATCATTAAAATCGGTAGTTTCAGAATTTATCGACTACAAAAAATTACTTAGTATACGTTATGCGATATTCGACATGAATATTCTACACACAATACCGCGGACATACATACATATTACATATATATATCTACTATTAAAACATTTGAAAGCTCGTCACAAGGAATACGAAAATTAATACACATCTCACGTACATAAAACTCGTGAATTATTAGTAATACGTTTACAAGTAAAAATAAAAATAAAAGCACCAAATTGAATTTAAATTGTCAAATAACTAAAATATTTGCACTCACTTTCCGTCGGCACTCCGTCATAACTTAGAATTAAGTCGAATAATGCCGATGCAAAATTATGCGTCAATAACCTACTGCGTACTTTTGTCCTTTAAACTTTACAAATGGCTTTAGATCCTCTGATCTGATGTTTTATTCGACTCTACTGTATTTCATTAAAGAATATTATTATTGGTTATCCTTCAAAAACTTCATATTCAGAGACTTCATAATTCTTACCACAGTGAGACAAACATTTATACAAGAATGATAATTTTATAAACAACTAGCAGAACCCGCGGCTTCGCTCGCGCTAAAACTGCAAAAAGACTCTAAAGAGATAGTTTCATACAAACTTTCATCCCCTATTTATTACCTACCTTATATATATTATACCTTGTACGATGAATTTCGAAAGATGGTAAAACACGTATTTATTGAATTTTATTCAAGAGCACTAATACCACGTTTCAATTAATTCTGATTATAAATGTTTTTTGGACTGTATTATAACGTGTTTTCCCGTTGGAATTAGATAATATCCCGCGGTAAAAACAAAGAAACAAACAAACACACTTTCACATTTATAATATTAGTATGGACTAGCGACTTACCTTCTTATAGCTCGGTTGTGTCCATAGGTACCTGACCGTAGCATATACGAGTATGTTACTCTAGGTCATAGTATATCTATGTAGTAAATTTCATGTGAGGAGGAACCAAAGATACACACAAACACTCATGCTGACTAAGAATGGGACTCATTAAGACAAATTAAATGAGCCCAAATTGACAGTAGAAGACCAGTTGACCAGTAATCATTAAAGAGTTCCTCGGAGGTAGGTAATTTGTTTCAGTCAATAATCAAACCCGCAATTACCGATTTCACTAATAGTTTATCTATTTACATAATATAAAATAATGTACTTACATAATTCTTTTCCAAGCACCCAAGTCTCAGGTTTAGAGTTGACTTCAACCAGTACAGTTGGTGTGCAAACCAATAACACCATAAGATCAGCAATGCTCAAATTCACCAGAAATATGTTCGTAGAATTTCTCATGTCTTTTGTCTTCAAAATAACTATAGGCACCATAACATTGCCTATAACTCCCAAACACATAATCACTATACAAAATGTCATACTAGTCGCCTTTATGTAATACGGTATTTCCGCATACTCTGTAAAGTTATTCGACATTTCGAACGTTGAATTCGATATCGAGTTATTTGAGAATGTATCATTTTGGTACTCGAATCTTTCGAATAAGTCCGTTTCTCGACTCTGCGTGGCATTTTTGTATGTATTTGTGTTGTAATTTATCGGCGAATGGGTATTAGTGTGCGTAAAATTGGCTATAGAAATCATGTGCGTGTGAAAGTTTTGGTCGACATGTGAGCTTCACATTTTTCCTCAGCTTTGACACCTTGGTTTTCTTGTTGTGACGTCAAAATTCCTTTCGAGATCTGAAACAATGTTAAACAATTAGTTTACATCGTATTTCTGAATGTTTTTGACATGGAATAATTGGATCGCTGCAAGCATTTGTAGGTACGTAATAAGTTGTGTTTTCAATCGTTTATTTACAAATACCTATCTGTTTTATTTTGGAAAAAAATATGTAAGTAATTTAGATTATGTTTTTTCTCTAAATTTCTTTAGGATTTATATTTCATTGTGACAGTATGGCTTTTTTCAGCGGTTTTGCGCAAGCTTTTATTTTTCCATTCAAAAGGTAGATACTAAATAGTTGAGGCCACGTTTTAGAGATGCATTATATGAGGATCCTCTTGCAATATTGGAATGCACTTAGCTAATTTAAATGAAAATAAGTTATAGAAAAAGCTTAAATAAAGTCCATCAATCAATTCTCTACGGCCTATGCTATCAATCTATTCTCTGTTTACGCGAGTGTCAATAGGTACTACAGAGGATAACTATTTTTTTAATTAACTGCCTCGGTGGTGTAGTGGCTAGCATGTACGGCTGCACACCCGGAGGTCCTGGGTTCGAGTCCCGGGTCGGGCCAAGTTTAGTTATTGAGTCTTTCTGTATAGTAAGTCTCAGTAACAGCCCGGAGTTGGGAAGTTGGCGGTGTTTCACCCCCGTGCCTCGGAGAACACGTAAAGCCGTCGGTCCTGCGCCTTAACTCTCACTGGTCGTGTCGAGCAGTCGTCCCACCGGAGTATGAGAGTGACAGAAATAGAGAGTGTACTTGTGTCTGCGCGTACACTTGTACACCATAATAACTCCTGCGCAGTTAGAGATAGATTTTTTTATAGAAATTGGCCGCCGTGGCCGGATTCGGTCAGAAGAACACCATCATCATTTTTTTAATAGTTATTTGGTCCCTTAGGTTGAAAAATGCCTGAATAAACCTAATCTAATATAATGAATGAATTGAAATTTAACACTTTTAATTTAATGCTGAAAGTACCTACACTCAATGTCCCACGATTAATAATAATAATAATAATATAATTATTATTATATTTTTTTACATAGCTTATACATCTTTATAGCGGCTTACGCTGGCTTCGCTCAGGTTTATCGTTAGTGAATAATAGAAAAAAATCTATCCCACGGGAACCATATATTTTTCCGGGATAAAAAGTGCTATCCCTAAGTGCTATTCCAGACTATAATCTATCTCTGTGCCAAATTTCAGCCAGATCCTTTCAGCCGTTCTAGCGTGATTAACAAACAACCATCCATCCAAACTTTCGCAATTATATAGTAGTAAAATAATTTATAAATATTTAGTGTATACATGTAAATAAAATTGAAGTGTCTGTTTCTAATTTCAAAATAGCACCTTGTTACTAAATGGATATGAAATTGTATATTATGGTACTTATAAGAACATAATTTTAAAAATGTTTGTCTGTCTTAATGTTCCGGCTAATCTCCGAACGGGTTGGACTGATTTTGACGGGACTTTCACTAGCAGATAGCTGATGGCTTAAAAATTAATTTAAACTACTTTTATTTTAGAAAAAGAATTAGATTTAGTTTTTTTAGATTCCGTTTAAAAAAATTAAAACGTACCGAACGCAAGTAAGTCGGGGGAAAACACTAGTGTACTATATTGTCAATCTTTTTACTTAGATCAATGACATGTCGCGACGTTTATCCCATAACATAAACATGTCAGATGGACCCTCGCAAAAACTTCAATAAATTTAGCCAATATTTGCAAATCTATCCACTTTAATGTTTACCTCAGTGATTTATGGTGTATGGCTGACTAACTCCTAAAAGGTAGAGTTAGACATAAAAAATCTATAGATTCTCCTCGATAAGTCAAATTAATGTGAGTAGTTTTATTTGAGAAGGACAAGTTATAGTATTTGTTTATTCGCAAGAGCGACATTTTTTTTATTTAAACAGAAAATTTTTGTTTTAAATTCTATAAGTAATGATGAAGTGTTATATATGTGTCTATTGATAGATTTTATGTATTACAAGGGACTTACCCTCACTTCGCTTGGTTGCGTTCGTAGGTACGCGGATTTAGTTTACAATTTCATGGATTTATTTTATTTGCGCGGGAAACCTTAATTCTTTTTCAAAGATAAAAGAGGCGTAAGTTACTCCATATATCATCAGCTATCTGTCAGTTAAAATCGGTCCAGCTGTTTCGAAAATTAGTTGGAACAAATAGACAGACAAAAATTAAAAAAAAATGTTAATTTTCGTATACATAAGTACCCTATATACTTTCATAAAATGCTCCTATTTTGGCATACAAACATACACTTCAATTTTATTTATTTGTATAGATAATCTTGATGATTTTAAATAAAAATATGTTTTCGGGGTTGTTCGAGGATTTATTTCCCGCCCCCCCAACGTGCGTTCACCTTGTCGTGGTGGGAGGGCTCAGTAGTGTACTCGCGAAGCCAAGAAACGCACAGGGAGGTGGCCCGCTTCGGTGGGCGGTGGAAGGCGGCCTTCTTCGGAGGGCAGTGTTCCATGCGGGTTGCTCCTGGTACTTCTCTGATAGCAGAGTGGACCGTGGAGCAACCCCATGGTTGTTGTGGTCTGCTTCGGCAGACCTGCCGTCGGGGCGTCGTAGTTGAATGCGTAAGCGATCCTGCGACGCCCCATTAAGACGGGGGAAGGTTTTGTTGGGTTTTAGTGGGTAGTACTGGCTTCGCCGGTGAGTCCCACACTTCGTGCGTAAATGCATTTCCCAACGTTAAAAAAAAAAAAAAAAGATTTATTTCCCGAAAAGATTCAAAACTGGTTTCTACCCGCGTCTGCGCTACTGTCATAAGTGGCAACGATCAGAGGTAGCCTAGATATCCAAGCTGCAATCTACCTCCTTACCAAATTTTATCGAAATCTGTTCAGCGGTTTAAGCGGTGAAAACTTAACAAAGAGAATTACTTTAATATTTATATTAATTTGGATGTCAAATATTCACGTAAAACTAAGAAATTATAACTACGAATTATAATTATTATAATTAAGCTTGGTTTTGTATAGTTTTATGTATCACACCAGGCCACTTGATAATTGTTATGGCTTATTTTGATGGACTCCATAGCAGTTAAAGCATAGCTATTACGTCCCTTCGATACGTGCTTGTTTATCGTCTAATATACAGACAGCAGGAAAATTAATGTTTATTATTATTTATTGAGTGTTAATGTTTTTTCGTTAAATTAAAATAATAATTACGATTGTTTGTAAAAGAATAGTTGAAGTAAACAAAAAGAAATAAGTAGTTTATAGAATATAGCAAAGAAAACTTAAAAATGAAATTAAAAAATTAAACAAAACTAATACATATGTCCATGTACTTACTTTTTTTGCACTGAAGTGTACGTAATACAGAAATTGTTAAAATAACAGCTAACAATCATTGAGCAATGTAACAAGTTAAATGACAAAAACAAAGGCCATATCCGACCTATTAACTATATTTACTTACATACCCTTATTTACGACTTACCCCTGCTTGGAGATTTATGATATTATTTAGAGATAATCTAAGTTTTAACTGATTTTATTATTAACAATAGCTTATATTATAGGCCAGGTTAAAGTCTATTTTTATGCGAAATTTCATCCAAATCGGCTTAGACGTTTCAGTTTTACACACACATATAAAGAAACTGTCATATTTATAAAGCTTGTGCGATTTATCAATGTGATGCTACGAGTAAGGTACGGTATGAAAAAAAACAATAGATACACTTTAATTAAGATTTTCTTTTACTGCTGTCGGTACCAGTGACCTACTGAAGGGCCGCATCCCCGCTGGCATGTGGTTAGGAGAAATAACAAAATCTGTTTATTACCGTATAACGGTGACAAAGAAAGTAGTATACAGCTTTATATTGTGTCGTATTTCGTAAGACTACTTAGTTAATTGACAGGATTTTATAAATGAATAACTTCTACCCTCACTATGCTGAGGGTTCATACCTCGGTTTCCTAAAGTAATCCTACTCTTGATCTATCTATAGGTATACAAAATTTTATCAAAACCCATCCAGTCGTTTTAACGTGAAAAAGAAAAAAAACAAAATCTTTTTTATTATGAAAATAATAGTCCGTTAGTTTATATCGTAGCCGGCGAATAGTATATAACCTAGATAGTTTATAACCTAGTCGGCAAATGTATAAGTTCAAACTGTTTTATAATACTTTCTTAATACTTCTTGTTATTTTGTGGATAGGCTGTCTGTAACAACTATATTAATAATGCCTTTGAGACGTCTAGGAGTAAAACCTTCTTAGTCTCTTGCTGATGAACTAAAAATTAAAATAAATCCGCGAAAAAATTCAAAAAACTAGTTTTATTTAAAACTAGCGACTCACCCTGGCTCGGCTCGGGGTCGTTCCTATTTACGTTTTAACGTTAAGTATAGATTTCTCACAGATGAGATATTTTGCCGCAGTAAAAGTATCCTATATGTTGACCCGGATAACCAGCTATCACATCAAACCCCTCCAGTCAGTTGTCAGTGATACGGTCACAGACAGACGAGAGACAAATAAAAATTCTAAAAATTATAGATTCGGCCTCTGTATCGATAATAATGTCTATA